CAGCAGTTCCTGTCCATTTTGAGCAGGACTCGCTGTCCGCGCCGCCGCGGCCTGTGTCCATTTGAGCCAGAAGGCCGCCTGCCCAACAGTGGCCGCTGTTGGTTTGGGACAACATGTGTTGTTGGGCATTGTACCCATTCTTTCCGTGCCCACTTCGGGCGTCCAAATCAGCTGGCCACCCTCACCGACCGTGGCCCCGGGCCGATCCCAGGCCTCACAGGTCGGTGCCTGCGCCTCCCCGACGGGCCCGACCTTTTTGATTGGCGAGGTGGGCCAGCCGACGTCGCCCCTGTGAAGGGCCCTCGGGCTCGTGCTTCGGCGGTGGCCAAGAGGGGGGCCATGGCGGGTGGCCAGGGGGTTGGATATCATGGCGGGGGCCATGACCTCTCCCCAGATTTCGTGGGGCCTCTCCTTGTTTCGATTGTTTCGATACGTCCGCGGCCGCCCCATGGGCCGCGCACATGCCTCGGGCCATAATTAGCACACACCCGAGTGATGCAGCTAGAGCATCCAATAGCCGCGAGGGCCGTCCACGCATCGGTCGGACTCGGCGATCTCGTGCCGTTGCCCGCGCGTCGCATCGGTCGATTCGACAGCATGTCCCCCTCACCCTCCTCTGTTCTCCTGCTGCTGCTCAGCTCTCCTCCTTCGCCAGAGCCTGCTTCTCTTCTTGTTCTTGTCCCTCCCCTCCCTCCGCCATGTCTCTCCTCCTCCCTCTCCCCCTCCTGCTAGGCACTTGTATCAATCACCCTGCGCTTGCCCTCCTTCTTCCTGCCGTTGCTGCTGCCGACCATACACACACTCAGCCGGGCGCCTGACGCTCGATGTCTGTCACGCCGCGCCGTGGTATTTGTCACATTTTCACACGTTACGATATTTTCCACGATTCGCCGGTAATGTCGGCCCGGCGCCTTGCCGGGACAGGCGGAATTTCCCGCCTCCCCCACGGGCCGCTCTGCTCTCTCTGCTGCGCTTGCCCTCGGTTCGGCCAATGACTGCCCTGACCTGGAGTTGCAACTACGGTGGGCGCTTGCGACAACCGTGCAGGGCTTACTGCAACTCGTTCGACGAGGGCCTTCCGCACGCTTCCCGCTTTTGCAGGTTCGGTGTTTCTTTCCTGGTTTGGCCCCCTCGTGCCGCATCGGAGGAGGAGGAGGAGTAGGAGGAGGAGGAGAAGGGAAAAGGGCGAGGAGGAGGAGGAGGAGGAGGAGGAGGAGGAGGAGGAGGAGGAGGAGGAGGAGGAGGAGGAGAGGGAGAAAGAGGAGGAGGAGGGGGAGGAGGGAGGAGGAGGAGGAGGAGGAGGAGGAGGAGGAGGCGAGGGAGGAGGAGGAGGAGGAGGCGGAGGAGGAGGAGGAGGAGGAGGACGACGAGGGAGAGATAGAGGAAGAAGACGACGACGACGACAAGGAAGATAGGGGAACGAGGAGGATGAGGAGGAGGAGGAGGAGGTAGACGAGGAGAGGAGGAGGATGAGGAGGAGGTGGAGGAGGAGGAGGAGGAGGAGGAATAGGGGGAGGAGGAGGGGGAGGAGGAGGCGGAGGAGGAGGAGGAGGAGGAGGAGGAGGAGGAAGAGGAGGAGGAGGAGGAGGAGAAGAGAAGAGGAAGAGGAGGAGGAGGAGGAGGAGGAGGAGGAGGAGGAGGAGTAGAAGGAGGAGGAGGAAGAGGAGGAGTAGGAGCAGGAGGAGGAGCAGGAGCAGGTGCAGGAGCAGGACGAGGAGGACGAGGAAGACGAGGGCGACGAAGACGAGGAGGACGAGGAGGAGTGTGGCGACACCAACAGGCTGGGCCCACCTTTGGAGGCTGAGGCGCCCGAGCGACATCACTCCAATACTCCTCTCCCTCCTTCTGCGGGTTCTCACCCAGGCCCGTAGCCATCTGGCTGTCGAGCCGTTCTGGCCCCTCGGCGCGCGCACCGCCCCTCGCGCCGACGGGGGGCACCGATGGACGCCCAGCTGCACCGCGGGCCCCCGAACAGGCCGCTGCTGCGCGTCTTCGTTCCTGCGCTGTGCTCCCTGCTGGCGGCAGCGCTCCTGACCGGCCTGGTGGCTTGGCATCGCTCGGACGTGTGCATTCGTTCCCTGGCGAGGACCATCGAGGAGCATGTTTGCCCCCCCTGGGGAAAGCACATGCACCCACGGGACCGAACAAACAGAGGTGCGCGGGGAATGTGAGCGCCCGAGCGATGCCAAACAGGTGGTCCCCGAGCTCAGCGGCGCGCCCTTCCTGCAGACGAGCATGGCGTGGGTCCGGCTGCTGGCGCGGCCGCGGCGGGAGGAGCTCGGCCAGACCTTGGGCTCCGAGGCCGCGCCGCCCCGCAGCGGAGGCGGCCGCCGCGGTGCGCGGCGGCGGAGCGCCCCGCGGGCGGCCCCCGAGGCGCTGCTGCGTGGCCACCGCCGGGCGCTGCGCGACACGCCGCCGGCCGCCGCCGAGCGGCGCGGCAGGCCCACCGCCGGGTGAGGCCCGCCCCGCCGCGCGTGAGGCAGGCGCCTCGGCGGTGCGGCCCGCGCCGGCCTCTGGCCCTTCTGTGCTTCGTGTCTGTTGGATCTGCTTGTGCATCCCGGGGTCCTCGAGATCAAACGAGCCCCTCAACCCAAGAGCACGATGCAGACGTAGCCTGACTTATCGGTCCCCGCGTTCGCGTGAGAGATGTAATGAAGCTTTGCGGTTTGGTCCGATACAGCTTCAGAAGAGACCCCCAATCCTAACGTGTTGGGCCCTCCTAACTTAGGTCCCCTCCCAGAGGGTCAGGGGTACTTTTATTGAATCGCTTCGCTCATTCCGCCGGCCCGTATTGTGCCATCGCGGGTTCTTGGGGGGTCTTGGAAGCTTCGTGGGAGCTTCTTGGGAACTTTGGGAGGCCTCGTGGATAGCTCTGGGTGGGCCCTCTTGGTGGTCTCTTGGGGGGGTCTGCCTGGCCTCTTGGGGGCCTCCTGGGAGCTTCCTGGGGGTCTCTTGGGGGCCTCTTGGGGCTTTCTTGCGGCCTGTTGGGGGCCTCTTGGGGCTCTCTTGGGGGCTTCGTGGGGCTACTTGGGGGCTTGTAGGGGCATTTCGGGGGCGTGTTTGGGCGGGAGGCTCAAAATTTCCGTTCAGGTTGCCCCTGTGGACCTCAATCATGGGGCCGTCTTGGGGCCTCTTGGACCGTCTTGAGGGTTTCTTGGGCCTTCTTGGAGCGCTCTTGGGCCGTCTTTGAGCGGTCTTGAGGGTCTCTCGGGCCGTCTTGGGGTGATTTTGGGGGCCTCTTGGACCGCCTTGAAAGGTGTGAAAGACGAAGAGGCGGATATGTTAAAAATGCACGCTTTCCTAAGGGAATGAGACGATTTTTGCTTGTGGGAGCCCTCTTGGGACGCCGCTTAGGGACCTCTTGGGGCGTCTTGAAGGCCTGTTGGGCCGTCTTGAGGCCATCGTAGGCGCTTGGGGGTGATATTTCGGCGTCTCCCGGCTCTCTTGGACCGTCTGGAGGGCTTCTCGGGCCCCTCTTGGACCGATTTGGAGCCCTCCTGGGCTCCGAAAAAGAGTTCTTGAGGGTTTCTTGGGCCTTCTTGGAGCGCTCTTGGGCCGTCTTTGAGCGGTCTAGAGGGTCTCTCGGGCCGTCTTGGGGTGATCTTGGGGGCCTCTTGGACCGCCTTGAAAGGTGTGAAAGACGAAGAGGCGGATATGTTAAAATGCACGTTTTCCTAAGGGAATGAGACGATTTTTGCTTGTGGGAGCCCTCTTGGGACGCCGCTTAGGGACCTCTTAGGGACCTCTTGGGTCGTCTTGAAGGCCTGTTGGGCCGTCTTGAGGACATCGTAGGCGTTTGGGAGTGAGATTTCGGCGTCTCCCGGCTCTCTTGGACCGTCTAGAGGGCTTCTCGGGCCCCTCTTGGACCGATTTTGAGCCCTCCTGGGCTCCGAAAAAGAGTTCTTGAGGGTTTCTTGGGCATTCTTGGAGCGCTCTTGGGCCGTCTTTGAGCGGTCTTGAGGGTCTCTCGGGCCGTCTTGGGGTGATCTTGGGGGCCTCTTGGACCGCCTTGAAAGGTGTGAAAGACGAAGAGGCGGATATGTTAAAAATGCACGTTTTCCTAAGGGAATGGGACGATTTTTGCTTGTGGGAGCCCTCTTGGGGCGCCGCTTAGGGACCTCTTGGGGCGTCTTGAAGGCCTGTTGGGCCGTCTTGAGGCCATCGCAGGCGTTTGGGAGTGATATTTCGGCGTCTCCCGGCTCTCTTGGACCGTCTGGAGGGCTTCTCGGGCCTCTCTTGGACCGTTTGGAGCCCTCCTGGGCTCCGAAAGGGGACCTTGCCGGGAGTCTGCCGGGACCTTGCCGGGAGTCTGCCGGGACCTTGCCGGAACCTTGCCGGGGTACTTTTCGTCCGGGGACCCTGAGGGCCCGCCCCGCGCGCGCGAACTAGAAATATTGTTGAGCAGTTACCGGAGATCTGGCCCGTTGGGCCGGCGAATTGCTTATCATGGGGAGGGTACCCTCGGATGTTCTGTGTGTTTTGGCCGGCGGAGGGCCTCACATTCTTGAAGGGCGTCCTTCTGTCCTAGGCTTGACTGTACTCCGAAGGGTGGTCCTTGCCACCCGCCTCGGGGCCCGTGAGCGCCCCGTGCAAGGGGCTCGAGGCAGTGGCACAGGTGCATCGGCGCGCGGGAGGGTGCACATTCGGCAGATGCTGCCTCCTCTCCCTCTCCTGCTGCGAGTCCTCCCCCTGCCCCGCTCCCCCCCCTGCCTGGGGGGACGTCCGTCGAGACGCAGAGGCAGGGGCCACGCGTTCGGTTCGGGAGAGGAGCTCCCTCTGCTCTCTCCTGGCCGCGCCTCTCCGAGCTGGGTCTCTGGGGACCTGTTCGTGGCCGCGGCTCGCCGTGGCCCATGCGGCGCCCCGTGCGGCAGCTCGTGCGGCGCCCCCCCCGCGGTAAAGTGCGGCGGCTGCCGCGGAAGCCGCGGACGCCGCCGCGGGGGGGGGGGGGCCCGGCAGACGTCCGCCCGAAGGCGAGGACAGCCCCCCCCACGAGCACGCTGTGCGTCACCGACGGGGGTCTGCTCAGGGCGCCGCCCGCCCCCTTTGTGTGCGCGTGTGTGTGTGGCGAGAAGCAGGCTCGCACTAGACTCGACACGGCAGTGATGTAGACATGAGTCCTCCTCCTCCTCCTCCTCCTCCTCCTCCTCCTCCTCCTCCTCCGGCGGACGCGGGTCTGCCGCGCGCCGGAAGCACTGTGGTCGGGAGCCGGCGCAGCCCCCCAACCCCAGGACAAGCACACCGCTCAGCGGCATGCAAGCCTCAGAGCCGAGGGGGTGCGCCGACCGGGGCCTATACCTCGCTTACACGGGAGCTTGGCGCCGATGGCCTGCGGCCTGCGGTCCCACCGCCAGGCGCCATACCTCCTCCTCCTCCTCCTCCTCCTCCTCCTCCTCGTCCTCCTCCTCCTCCTCCTCGTCCTTCTTCTCCTCCTCCTCCTCCTCCTCCTCCTCCTCCTCCTCCTCGTCCTCCTCCTCCCTTTCATCAGAGGGAGGGGGCCGAACGGTCATTCATTGTCCCTGGGTGCGTGGCTGAAGTGGGGATCCGTGGTGAGGGTTCTGCTTGTTGTCGTCGTCCCACCCCACGACCCATCCCGCGACCCACCCCGCGGCCCACCCCGCGACCCACCCGCGACCCACCCGCGACCCACCCCGCGACCCATCCGCGACTCACTTGCGACCCACCCGTGACCACATCGGTTTAATGAAAATAGATGCCCTTGCGGTGGGCTCGTTGTATAATTTGTGAAACTTTAGCGCCTGCGGCGGGCTTCTCCAGAGTCTCGCAGATCTGCGGGATGCGATGGTATGATGTTATTGCGAAGGCCTTACGGCCGGTGCCGCCGACCCTGAAGGGAGGCGACGAAGACGACGACGATAACGGCGGCGGCAACGACGATGATGCTGACGTGGGCCAGAGTCCTCAGGGATGGTTCTTGGGGTCTCTTCGGAAGTCTCCCGGGGGCCTCTTGGGGGCCTCTTTGGGGGGGGCCTCTTGGGAGCCTCTTGGGGGACGATGTTACTTCTGTTGTTTTTGTGCCGTCGCCCTCGAGGCCTCGCACCCCAGCCTTGTGCGCCGGCCCCCGACCTCCAGCCCTTGGTCATGCGCCAGAGTGACTCAGGAAGGAGAAAAAAACACAAAGACACAATTCATCGTCGATCCCCCAGAAAAGATTGGAAAATATGGGAAGCGGGGGGAGACGAACATCCAAAACATATGGGAAAATATGGGGAACCTTTTAATTCCAACCCTCCTTGGTTGGGTATTCGTTTTGAATAAAGTGGTGTGATCGCGTCCCTCCTCCTCCTCCTCCCGCCTCCCGCATCCTCCTGCCCTCTCTTCGCCGACGATGGGGGCTGCGATCTGCGAAACCGTCGCCACTTTCGAGGGCTGCTGGTGGGTCCTGCGGAGTGAGGCGCCGCGCAGATCTGAGCGAGACCTCGCCGTCCCTGGGGGGCTGCGATCTGCGAAACTGCGCCACTTTCGAGGGCTGCTGGTGGGTCCAGCGGAGTGAGGCACCGCGCGGATCTGAGCGAGACCTCGCCGTCCCTGGGGGGCTGCGATCTGCGAAACTGTCGCCACTTTCGAGGTTTGCTGGTGGGTCCTGCGGAGTGAGGCACCGCGCAAATCTGAACGAGACCTCGCCGTCCCTAGGGGGGCTGCGATCTGCGAAATTGTCGGCTTTCGAGGGCTGCTGGTGGGTCCTGCGGAGTGAGGCACCGCGCGGACTGAGCGGACCGTCGCCGTTGTGGGGGGCTGCGATCTGCGAAACTGTCGCCACTTTCGAGGGCTGCTGGTGGGTCCTGCGGAGTGAGGCGCCGCGCGGACCTTCGCCGTCCCTGGGGGGCTGCGATCTGCGAAACTGTCGCCACTTTCGAGGGCTGCTGGTGGGTCCTGCGGAGTGAGTCACCGCGCGGACCTGAGCGAGACCTCGCCGTCCCTAGGGGGGCTGCGATCTGCGAAATTGTCGCCACTTTCGAGGGCTGCTGGTGGGTCCTGCGGAGTGAGGCACCGCGCGGACCTGAGCGAGACCTCGCCGTCCCTAGGGGGGCTGCGATCTGCGAAATTGTCGCCACTTCCGAGGGCTGCTGGTGGGTCCTGCGGAGTGAGGCACCGCGCAGATCTGAGCGAGACCTCGCCGTCCCTGGGGGTGTGCGATCTGCGAAACTGTCGCCACTTTCGAGGGCTGCTGGTGGGTCCTGCGGAGTGAGGCACCGCGCAGATCTGAGCGAGACCTCGCCGTCCCTGGGGGGCTGCGATCTGCGAAACCGTCGCCACTTTCGAGGGCTGCTGGTGGGTCCTGCGGAGTGAGGCACCGCGCAGATCTGAGCGAGACCTCGCCGTCCCTGGGGGGCTGCGATCAGCGAAACTGTCGCCACTTTCGAGGGCTGCTGGTGGGTCCTGCGGAGTGAGGCACCGCGCGGATCTGAGCGGGACCTCGCCGTCCCTGGGGGGCTGCGATCTGTGAAATTGTTGCCACTTTCGAGGGCTGCTGGTGGGTCCAGCGGAGCGAGGCTCCAGGCAGATCTGAGCGGGACACTGGAATCCTTGGGGGGCTGCGAGCCTCACGAATGCCGCTCGCAGAAGTATATGCGCCCATGTCACGTCATCACCTCCGTATCACGTCTCCCAAGCTACTCATGCCCCGCATTGCGCAGGGGTTGGGTACGTGGCCAGGGTAATTTGTGTGTGTATTTATTTGTGTGTCTGTGGGCCCCTTCAGTGACCCCATGCTGGAGTGTCCTTCGGTGCGGGCCCGGCCAACAGGGGCCCCCCCGGACACCGGGACGTTGCAGGCCAGGATCTCGGGAGGCCCCGCTGGAGAAGACGAAGGACGAGGAGTGCTGCGTTTCACGGCTGCAGTTTTCTCGGGCTCGCCAATGCCCTGGTTTGCCAAAAACCTCCGCTCAGGTGGCCCCGAGGGCCGCGGTCGAGGCCTCCCGGATGGGGGCCGAGCAGCTGGGGCCGAAGGGTCGCGCCGTATCGGCGATGCGGCTTGATGTGGAGTCCGGTGCTCTCCACGTCGACGGCGCCGATGCAGCGCCGACGCGGACGATGCATCGCCGATGCGTCGGCGATGCGTCGGCGAATCGTCGCAACCCTCCGACCCCATCGACTCGGAGCCTATGTGGGGGGCCTCTACACAGGGCCTATATAACTTTTATGCATGTATCTTTGTATATATATATGTACATGCATATAAACATATGTGTCTCTGTATCTACATATATATACATGCAACATATATGTATATATGTACATGCATGCACATATGTTTGATTATATGTCTGTGTATGCATCTAAGTGTGTAGCCGTCTCTCTCTCTATATATAACTCTCGACCTATATATCTATACATATATATAATTATAGATCGGTATGTATATCTAGACATACAAGACTGCATTGGCGCTTCGCGCCATGCACCTTAGTCCTTGAAGGTGGGCACGTAGGCGGAAGGGCTGGAAGGTGAGCCAGACAAACGAGCGATGACTCCTTGTTCCATTTTCTAACACCGTCGTTGCAACAATTGTTTTCTTTCGATTCGCGTCTCCCACCAGCCGATGCGGAAACCCTGACCATGAGAGCTAACAGGAAAAGGGATGACGACACACCTATAGTGAAACAAAACGGGCAACCAGGGTGAACAGAGAGATCGCTGGTAGCAAGGGGGTGGCCTTGGAGGGCCTTCTCGGGCCATCCCTGGGGCCCGCGTGGGGGCGAAATGAGAGAAGGAGGAGGAGGAAGAACAAGAAAATGACGACGACGACGACCACGACCACGACGACGAGGAAAAAGAGCAAACGGAAAAGGAAGACGATCCGGGCACGGACAAGGACGGGAGGACGAGGAGGAGGGCAACGAGGACGACTCTTGGGGGCATCTTGGAGGCCATCGGTCAAAACGTGTGGATCCCAAATGTTCCTCCCCCCTGGAGCATCATAATCGCCTTTTGGGGCGCTCTTGGGCCCCTCTTGGGCCGCTCTTGGGCGCTCTTGGTGCCGTCTGGGGGCCTCTTGGGCCCCTCTAGGGCCTCTCTTGGGCCGTCTTTGGGCCATGTTGAGGCCTCACAAGCGAATCGGAAGCGGAAAGGCGAGCATACAACCTTTACAGATTTTTGTTGATGGTTTTTGCGAGAGTTTGGCGTCTTGGGGGCGTCCTGAGGTGGCTCCGAGAGCACTTGGAGCCGGCTTGTGGCTCTTGTCGGGCTTCCTCGAGATCTGTCAGAAGGTATCGTGAACCATCGTCGGCCATCTTGAGCCATGTTGTAGGCCATGCTTGAACATCGGAGGGCCTCTTGGACCCATCTCGGGCGAACAAGGACCCTCTAACCAATCGCGGCCCGCCCACAAAATCCTCAGTGAGGGGAGGGGGAGGGTACCCCTCCCCGAAGGGACGAGAGTTTGGGAGGAAGAGAGGGATCGATAGACCACCTTAGCCCAATGGTCTGGTGGGAGCCATCGTCCTTCCCTTATTGTTCTTCTTCCTCTTCCCCATTCTCGCCCTACCTACCCTGCGAAGTCTTCCCCATCCTTCTCAACTTATTTTGCGGAGTCTCTTCCTTGGAGAGACTCCTGGTGGCCTCACGCAAGTTTCAGATGACTTCTTGGGGCATCCTGGGCGCACCCTGCTTTCAACCGCGGTCTCCCTGAACGACTGGGTCACTATCTGGAATGCTTCACGGGCGTCTTTGGGCGATGGTGGGCCGTCGTGGGGCCCTCTTCGGGCCGTCACAGGGCCCTCTTCGGGCCATCTTGTGGCCCTGTTTGGCCGACTGGAAGCCTGCGACTCTCCTAGACTGCCTGGAAGCTCCTGGACTGCCTGGGACTCTGCTAGACTCCTGGAAGCCTTGGCCATCTTGGGGCTCTCCTGGACTGCCTGGAAGCCCTTTCGGGTAGTTGTGGGGCGATTGGAGAGGCCTGACGGCCGGTGCCGCCGACCCTGGAATGGTGTGAGGCTCCCAAGGGGGGGTCCGAGCGTCCTACTCGAGGGCTCCGTGATGCCAAAAGCCTTCGAAATAAAGTCCAACGAGGAGGGGGAGGAGGAGGAGGGGGAGGAGGAGGAGGAGGAGGAGGAAGAGGAGGAAGGAGGAGGAGGAGGAGGAGGAGGAGGAGGAGGAGCAGGAGAGCAGGAGGAGGAGGGGGGCGGATGATGAGGAGGAGGAGGAGGAGGAGGAGGAGGAGGAGGAGGAGGGAGGAGGAGGAGGAGAAGGCGGAGGACGATGCTGGAGTCGTTGTATGGAACGAGCAGGAGGAGGAGGAGGAGGAGGAGGGGGATATTCTTGGGGGTCTTCATGGTTTACGAATATCTCTGAGGGTCCATGGCTGCATCATGAGGCAATGTCGGACTTTCTTGGAGCAATCGCGCGGTCCAAGACCTATGGAGGTTCTAGACGCTTCTAGACGCTAATTTGGCCGTTACCGTGTCCCGGAACGCTTCTGACTCCGCCTGCGGTCTCGCTGGCGGACGCGACCGAAAAAGTAACCCCACCGGCCCATCCAGACACGATGCCCAGACGGGTTCCCTCAACAGAGATGTACAGGAGCACGCCATGGAATAAATGGCTGGGTTATATGTCGTACCCCAAGAGGGGGAAAAAGCGGATCGGGGGAGGAGCAAGAGGAGGAGGAGGAGGAGCAAGAGGAGGAGGAGGAGGAGGAGGAGGAGGAGGAGGAGGAGGGAAAGGGGGGGGGGGGAGGAGGGAGGGGAAGACGAAGAACAGGCGGATGAGGAGGAGGAAGAGGAGGGCGGGCAGAAAGGCCAGAGGCCTTTTGGATGCCGCTCGAACTTCGGATTGGGGCGTCTTGGGGATCTATTGGCAGTCCCAGGGACCTCTTGCGGTGCCTTGGGTGCTTCTGGGGGGCCTCTGGAGGCATCTTGGGAGTCTCCTGGGAGCCTCTTGAGCGCATCTTTAAGGCATCTTGGGAGCCTTTTGCTGGGCACCTCTTGGGGCCGTCTTGGGGCACCCTTGGGAGCCTCGAGGGCTATCTTGGGGTTATTTCGGAAGATATTGATTAACGCAGGGGTGCTTCCTCATCCTGAATTTGGCCCCCGCCCCCCAGGAGGCCAACATGTGGCCAACACTATACGTAACATCAGTGATGTTGGCCTTCTCGCCGAGACCTCTTTGGGCGCCTTCGGTGCCTCTGGGGGGCCTCTTGGGGGTCTCTTGGGAGCCTTTTTGGGTGCCTAGCGGGAGCCTCTTGGGAGCCTCTTGGGGCCTCCTGGGCACGTGTTGGGGCCGTCTTGGGGCACCCTTGGAAGCCTCGGCGGCCATCTTGGAGCGGAGCCACTTTGGAAGAGATCGATCAAAGGGGGGGCTCCTTTAATTAGGGTCCACCCCCAGGAGGCCAACATGTGGCTAAAACCTGAATGCAATGGCCTTCTCGCCGAGGATTCTTGGGTCGTCTTGGGTGCCTCTGGGGGGGGCTCTTGGGGGTCTCGTGGGAGCCTCTTGGGAGTATATTTGGGGCCTTTCCTGAGGCCCCTCGGGGTCTCCCTGACAACTCTTGGGACCGTTTTGGAGCACCCTTGCCATCCGGAGGCCATCTTCGACGAGATCGATCAAAGTAGGGGGGGCTCCTTAATTAGGCCTTCCCCAGGAGGCCGACATGTGGCCGAAACCTTTCCTGGTAAAATCAATGATTGTGGCCTTCTCGTAGAGGCCAACAAAGACCTTCTGACACCTCGCGAACCCCCCGTTCAGGCTCCCCAGAGACGCTCCAAGAGGGTTCCAAGAATACCTCCAAGAAGGCCCCACGAGGCAAACATGAATAGCTCGATTGTTTTTTGAGGATTTTTAGTTTCTCGCATTTGCAGACTTCTATCGCTCCAAGACGGCTCAAGAGGCGCCCAGTATCGCACCGAGGCACCCCACGGGGCCACCTGTTCCTGTGCATCTCGTGCACTTTCTACAGCCGTGGAGGTCAAGGGCCTGGGTGATAAGTGACGCCCTCCTACGGTGATGGGAGAGAGGAACTTCAGCCGTCTCCGTAAAACGCCAGTTTCTTGATGAAGCTGGGGTGCCCGTTGAGATTCACAAGTTCATCCCACTGGTGTACTTGCACGTTGTAATGTTCTCTGCGAGAGTTTGCCCCTGGATGCAGCTAATGCACACTGTCAGGGACACGAGGCGTTGCTGTCAACGATAAAAAGAAGAGGAGGAGGAGGAGGAGGAAGAGGAGGAGGATTAGGAGTAGGAGGAGGAGGGGTATTTAGGAGGGGGAGTCAAGCTAGCCAGGGCAACCAGGGTGAACAGAGAGATCGCTGGTAGCAAGGGGGTGGCCTTGGAGGGCCTTCTCGGGCCATCCCTGGGGCCCGCGTGGGGGCGAAATGAGAGAAGGAGGAGGAGGAAGAACAAGAAAATGACGACGACGACCACGACCACGACGACGAGGAAAAAGAGCAAACGGAAAAGGAAGACGATCCAGGCACGGACAAGGACGGGAGGACGAGGAGGAGGGCAACGAGGACGACTCTTGGGGGCATCTTGGAGGCCATCGGTCAAAACGTGTGGATCCCAAATGTTCCTCCCCCCTGGAGCATCATAATCGCCTTTTGGGGCGCTCTTGGGCCCCTCTTGGGCCGCTCTTGGGCGCTCTTGGTGCCGTCTGGGGGCCTCTTGGGCCCCTCTAGGGCCTCTCTTGGGCCGTCTTTGGGCCATGTTGAGGCCTCACAAGCGAATCGGAAGCGGAAAGGCGAGCATACAACCTTTACAGATTTTTGTTGATGGTTTTTGCGAGAGTTTGGCGTCTTGGGGGCGTCCTGAGGTGGCTCCGAGAGCACTTGGAGCCGGCTTGTGGCTCTTGTCGGGCTTCCTCGAGATCTGTCAGAAGGTATCGTGAACCATCGTCGGCCATCTTGAGCCATGTTGTAGGCCATGCTTGAACATCGGAGGGCCTCTTGGACCCATCTCGGGCGAACAAGGACCCTCTAACCAATCGCGGCCCGCCCACAAAATCCTCAGTGAGGGGAGGGGGAGGGTACCCCTCCCCGAAGGGACGAGAGTTTGGGAGGAAGAGAGGGATCGATAGACCACCTTAGCCCAATGGTCTGGTGGGAGCCATCGTCCTTCCCTTATTGTTCTTCTTCCTCTTCCCCATTCTCGCCCTACCTACCCTGCGAAGTCTTCCCCATCCTTCTCAACTTATTTTGCGGAGTCTCTTCCTTGGAGAGACTCCTGGTGGCCTCACGCAAGTTTCAGATGACTTCTTGGGGCATCCTGGGCGCACCCTGCTTTCAACCGCGGTCTCCCTGAACGACTGGGTCACTATCTGGAATGCTTCACGGGCGTCTTTGGGCGATGGTGGGCCGTCGTGGGGCCCTCTTCGGGCCGTCACAGGGCCCTCTTCGGGCCATCTTGTGGCCCTGTTTGGCCGACTGGAAGCCTGCGACTCTCCTAGACTGCCTGGAAGCTCCTGGACTGCCTGGGACTCTGCTAGACTCCTGGAAGCCTTGGCCATCTTGGGGCTCTCCTGGACTGCCTGGAAGCCCTTTCGGGTAGTTGTGGGGCGATTGGAAAGGCCTGACGGCCGGTGCCGCCGACCCTGGAATGTTGTGAGGCTCCCAAGGGGGGGTCCGAGCGTCCTACTCGAGGGCTCCGTGATGCCAAAAGCCTTCGAAATAAAGTCCAACGAGGAGGGGGAGGAGGAGGAGGGGGAGGAGGAGGAGGAGGAGGAGGAGGAGGAGGAGGAGGGGAGGAGGAGGAGGAGGAGGAGGAGGAGGAGGAAGAGGAGGGGAGGAGCAGGAGGAGGAGGAGGAGGGGAGAGGAGGCGGAGGAGGAGGAGGAGGAGGAGGAGGAGGAGGAAGAGGAGGTCACCACCCACCAAACCACCCCAACCCAACCCGAAGGCTCAGGTTTGCCCTCCATTTCCAGTGGGGGGGGGGGTCGCGGAACATCGACAAAAACACGTATGGAACCCTTACCCCCCCGAACCCGAAATTCGGGCCTTCGGGTTGGGTTGGGGTGGTCTGGTGGGTAGTCAGGAGGAGGGGAACGAGGAGGAGGAGGAGGAGGAGGAGGAGGAGGACCTTCCCGAGGAGGAGGAGGAGGAGGAGGAGGAGGAGGAGGAGGAGGAGGAGGAGGAGGAGGAGGAGGAGGACGATGCTGGAGTCGTTGTCTGGAACGAGCAGGAGGAGGAGGAGGAGGAGGGGGATATTCTTGGGGGCCTTCATGGTTTACGAATGTCTCTCAGGGTCCATGGCTGCATCATGAGGCAATGTCGGACTTTCTTGGAGCAATCGCGCGGCCGTCGTCGGCGTTTTTGTATTGTCCTCGCCTGCTCTGAGGGCATCGTGAATTTCTCGGTTGCAAGACAAAGTCATCCTGGCCATCTTGGAAGTCACTCGGCTGTCTCTTGGAATCTTGAATCAATATTGGCCGTGTCAGAGTGAATCCTGGGCCAGGTTAGCCGTTATGGAGGCCAGTTTGAATCGCCTGGGGGTTGTATGGGGGCACTCTTGTGTCTTCTTGAGTTTACTGGGCATTGCTGTGGAGGCTCTTCTGGGCTCTGTGAGGCCGTCGGGTGCCAGAAAGGGCAAGAACGCGGTGAAGTGTTATGGTCAGCGGCATTCTGGAAGCCCTTTCGGGCCTCTTGGGAGCCTCCTGGGGGCGTCTTGCGGTCTTCTGGGGGGCCTCTTGGAGGTGGGAACTTCTCTGAAGTTGTTTGGGACCTCCCAGGAGCGTCTTGGGCTAGTAAGGTCGAAATGTCAGTTCGTGGTCTCGCTCTGGGCCTCTCTGGGGGCGTTTCTGGGGCCCTTTCGGGCTGCCTTGGAAGCCGTTTGGGCCGTCTTGTTCTTCTCGTGTTGTTTAAGGTCTCGGCACCTCTGGAGGGCCTCGTAGGCAAATGTTGGGCAATATCTGGAGCCTCGTCAGCAGTATTGGAGCGTCGGCAAGCCGAAAAGGGAGACAGGCGAACATCTGTCCAAAACCTATGGAGGTTCTAGACGCTTCGCGTAACCCCACCGGCCCATCCAGACACGATGCCCAGACGGGTTCCCTCAACAGAGATGTACAGGAGCATGCCATGGAATAAATGGCTGGGTTAGACGTCGTGTCCCAAGAGGGTGAAAAGCGGATCGGAGGAGGAGCAAGAGGAGGAGGAGGAGGAGGAGGACGAGGAGGAGGAGGAGGAGGAGGAGGAGGAGGAGGAGGAGGAGGGAAAGGGGGGGAGGAGGGAGGGGAAGACGAGGAACGGGCGGATGAGGAGGAGGAAGAGGAGGGCGGGCAGAAAGGCCAGAGGCCTTTTGGATGCCGCTCGAACTTCGGATTGGGGCGTCTTGGGGGTCTATTGGCAGTCCCGGGGACCTCTTGCGGTGCCTTGGGTGCTTCTGGGGGGCCTCTGGAGGCATCTTGGGAGTCTCCTGGGAGCCTCTTGAGAGCATCTTTAAGGCATCTTGGGAGCCTCTTGCTGGGCACCTCTTGGGGCCGTCTTGGGGCACCCTTGGGAGCCTCGAGGGCTATCTTGGGGTTATTTCGGAAGAGATTGATTAACGCAGGGGTGTTTCCTCATCCTGAATGTGGCCCCCGCCCCCCAGGAGGCCAACATGTGGCCAACACTATACGTAACATCAATGATGTTGGCCTTCTCGCCGAGACCTCTTTGGGCGCCTTCGGTGCCTCTGGGGGGCCTCTTGGGGGTCTCTTGGGAGCTTTTTGGGGAGCCTAGTGGGAGCCTCTTGGGAGCCTCTTGGGGCCTCCTGGGCACATGTTGGGGCCGTCTTGGGGCACCTTTGGAAGAGATCGATCAAAGCGGGGGCTCCTTTAATTAGAGACAACCCCAGGAGGCCAACGTGTGGCTAAGTCCTTGAAAACAATGGCCTTCTCGCCGAGGCCTCTTGGGTCGTCTTGGGTGCCTCTGGGGGGGCTCTTGGGGGTCTCGTGGGAGCCTCTTGGGAGTATCTTTGGGGCCTTTCCTGAGGCCCCTCGGGGTCTCCCTGACAACTCTTGGGACCCATTTTGGAGCACCCTTGCCATCCGGAGGCCATCTTCGACGAGATCGATCAAAGTAGGGGGGCTCCTTAATTAGGCCTCCCCCAGGAGGCCGACATGTGGCCGAAACCTTTCCTGGTAAAATCAATGATTGTGGCCTTCTCGTAGAGGCCAACCTTCTGACACCTCGTGAACCCCCCGTTCAGACTCCCCAAAGACGCCCCAAGAGGGTTCCAAGAATACCTCCAAGAAGGCCCCACGAGGCAAACATGAAGAGCTCAATTGGTTTGTGAGGATGTTTAGTTTCTTGCATTTGCAGACTTCTATCGCTCCAAGACGGCTCAAGAGGCGCCCAGTATCGAGGCACCCCACGAGGCCACCTGTTCCTGTGCATGTCGTGCACTTTCTACAGCAGTGGAGGTCAAGGGCCTGGGTGATAAGTGACGCCCTCCTACGGTGATGGGAGAGAGGAACTTCAGCCGTCTCCGTAAAACGCCAGTTTCTTGATGAAGCTGGGGTGCCCGTTGAGATTCACAAGTTCATCCCACTGGTGTACTTGCACGTTGTAATGTTCTCTGCGAGAGTTTGCCCCTGGATGCAGCTAATGCACACTGTCAGGGACACGAGGCGTTGTTGTCAACGACAAAAAAAGAAGAGGAGGAGGAGGAAGAGGAGGAGAAGTAGGAGTAGGAGGAGGAGGGGTATTTAGGAGGGGGAGTCAAGCTAGCCAGCTCGAGCGAGTCAAGCACGGCATGCCCATGCCCACCCGCCCTCCCACAGCATAAGAAACAGTGCCGGCGCAACAGGGGACCGAACTCAGATCGGCAAGGTGGTTTGCCACAGCTGATGCAGCCGCGATGGCGGTTGCCGATAAGAAATCCCTGCCGCGTCTCAAAGACTGCGCTGGCATTTCAGCACGAGCCGAGGAGGCCCCAGGAAGCCGCAGGAGGCCCCAGGAGGTCTCAGGAGAAGCCCCAGCGACCCTCAGGAAACCCCAGGAGGCTTCAGGAGGGCCCAGGAAACCCCAGGTATTTCCAGGAGGCTTCAGGACAATCTAGGAAGTGTCAGGAAGCCCCCGGGGAACCCCAGCAAGCCCCAGGATGCCTCAGGAGGTTCCAAAAGGATCCACGAGGCCCTGGGGAAGCCCCAGGAAGCCCCAGGATGTCCCAAGAGACCCTGGGAGGCCCCAGGGGGCCCTAGGCGCTCGACGGATTGGCGAGCGAAGAATGTGCGCCGCGCCTTTGCGGGGGCGCAACTTTCAGAAAACATGCGCGCGGCGCCGAAGCGAGAGCGACATTTCGCCTTGTCGCGCGCGATGTGCACCGCGCCCCTTTTCTTGCCACGCATGTCGCAAAGCCGACGACATGAAAATCTCCACTGGTAATAAGCACGACGACTTTGTATGGTTTTTGACAGGTAGGATGGCCCCTCCCGCTTGGGGTTGCCCCAGGCGTCCGCGTGCGATGTGCGCCGCGTCCGATTCCTGCTGCGCATTTCGCATCGTTGGCGACCAGAAAGACCATGTTGAGAGAAACAACGGCGACTTTGTTTTGACTTTTACTCTTAGGATGGGAGGGCCCGGTTTGACGGCCGCGCGCGACGCGCGCCGCGTCTTATTATTGCTCCGCATTTCGCATCGTCGGCGACAAGAACGGCCACGTTGACAGAAACAACTACAACTTTGTATTGTTTCTTGTCTAAAACAGTTCGGATGGGAGGGCTCGGATGAAACCCCTATCGGCCGGCCAAATGGGGGGGAGTAAGAGTATATTCGACTAAGGAATAAGGATATGAAGGGGAGGAGGAGAAGGCGGGACAGGAGGAGGCGGGAGAGGAGGAGGGGGGGGGAGCGGGGGGGAGGGGGAGGAGGACGAGGAGGCGGAGGAGGAGGAGGAGGCGGAAAGGAAGGGGGGGAGGAGGGGGGAGGGGGAGGAGGAGGAGGAGGAGGAGGAGGGGAGGGAGGAGGAGAGAGGAGGAGGAGATGAGGAGGAGGACCTTCCCGAGGAGGAGGAGGAGGAGGAGGAAGGAGGAGGAGGAGGAAGAGGAGGAGGAGGAGTAGGAGGAGGAGGAGGAGGAGGAGGAGGAGCAGGAAAAGCAAGAGGAAGAGGAGGAGGAGGAGAGGAGGAGGAGGAGGAGAGGAGGAGGAGGAGGAGGGGAGGAGGAGGGGGTGGAGGTGCAGGAGGAAGGGGAGGGGAGCCGTGTGAGAAAGAAGGGGGGGAGGAGGAGGGCAGTGGGGTGGAGGGCGAGGGAGGGTTCCCCTCTCCCCCCTCCCCCTGCGCCGACGGGACTTCAGCGGCGGGGGGCGCCTTGCCCCGCGGGCCCCGCGGGCGCCCGCGCGCACCGCGCCGCGCCCGGCTGCAATGCCGCTGGCGGGGAGGCAAGGGGGCACGGTGGCGGACGCGCGCGCGAACACCGTGGCTCCGAGGGGCTGCCGCCCCGTGGCGTCGCCCCCCCCCGGACGAGACGCGCCCCGGGGGAGGATCGCTCCAGGCGGTAGTTGGGGGATCGTCCTCGTCGTCGTCCTCCTCCTCCTCCTCCTCGTCCTCCTCCTCCTTCTCCTCCTCCTCCTCTTTAAATTTCCCTTATTCGGTCCTCCGCCTCCGCCTCCTCCTCCTCCTGCTGCTTCTCCTCCTCCTCCTCCTCCTCCTCCTCCTCCTCCCTCCTCCTCCTCCTCCTCCTCCTCCTCCTCCCTCCTCATCCTCATCCTTGTCTGGGGTTTGAGTAAGAGGCCGGCGGACTGCATTTGAGATCGGGTCGGGCGACAGGGGAAAGGGGGGCGGCAGTGAGAGGGGGGGTACGAACTCTTTCGCATGCACATGGCTGGTTCCGGCCCCGCCACTGGCCGCTTCCCTTGGGTGCATGGGCGAGGTGGCGTCCATCGGCGGCGCAACTTCGGGAACCCTTTCTCAAGAGCGGCGAACATATCCGCATCCGCGCCCCCGCGGTCTGGATTCCAGGGCGCGATCCCGCGGATGCGTGGTCTCGCACGGTGGCGTTCCGCGCGGAACGTTCGCGAGAACACCGCCCGGTTATCCCCAGGGCCGCCGGCCCGGGGCTCGGCCCGCGAGACCGCGGACACGTATCCCGAACGGCCGGCTGCGGCGAATTGGAGGGGGCACGACAAAACGTCGCGCGGGAGTTGTTGCTGCTCGTGTTCAGACTCTGGAGGACCTCCTCGGGCCCCCCTCGCTCCGTCTCTCGCGACTGGCGCTGCGGATCCCGGGGCCCACCTTTGGGCCCGCATCCACTCGCGGTTCGACTCGGGCCTCGTGGTCCACAAGGTTCCAGGCCACGCGACGATGCACGATGTTTGGGGGGCGGGCGGGCGACGGCTTGGGAGCGGGCGGGTAATCGACTGGCCGACCAGTTTGCTCGCCGCGGCGCCGCCTGCCATCCTTCGACCTCGCCGGCATTCGACGACATTCGAGCCCCCGAGGGGCTGGTCAAGGAGGCGGCCCGCTGGGCTGCGCAGCAGGAGGTGCAGATCGCCTCGGGGACCGCTAGGGACTCCGCGGCCCTCCCGGGGGCGGGGGTAGAGAAGGAGGAGGGGCACCGCCTTCGTCGGTCAGACTTGGCCCCTCCCACCCTCCCTTGCCTCTTCAGCTCTGGAGGCCCAGGCCGCTTCAAGCCGCAGGGTCTTCAGGCCCGCGGCTCTCAAGAGGACCCCGAGTTGTCGCTGCTGCTGCGGCTTCTCGGGTACCGCCTCCGAGCGGCCTCGGCCTTCGACCCCCACGGGGCCACCGTTCTCTCGGGACCGACTGCTCTCGTCTGCGTCGCCTGCGGGGGTTACGCTTGGGGGGTGGGTGCTCTCGCTTGCGCGTCCTTGCTTGGGCAGGCCTCCACCGAGCACACGGGCAGGCAGCTGGGCAGGGCGTGGAGGGGGGACTTCCCTGCATGGTCCTCTTGGTGCAGGGGCTGGAGGCTCGGGCCTCGGCGGGAGCCCTCGCCAGCTGACCTCCTCGCCCCGGCGGCCCCTCGTGGCTTGGGAGGGGCGGGGGCCTCGGCCCATCGGGCTGCGTCGGAGCCCGTCTGGGGTGCGAGGTGGTCCCGTGGGGAGGTTTTGCGGCGGCTCGGCGTTTCGGCCGACCACCTCGAGTTTTGGGGAGGAGCGGGAGCGGGCCTCGGCGCCTCCTGAGGAGGATGAGGAGGACGTCCCCGTCCTTCCACGAGCTGGGTGGTCTGGTTTCCGCTCCAGGCGCGGCTGGCACTGCCCCGCTGCCGAAGTCAATCGTAATTGCTGGGGGGGAGGAGGAGGAGGAGGAGGAGGAGGAGGAGGAGGAGGAGGAGGAGGAGGAGGAGGAGGAGGAGGAGGAGGAGGATGAGGAGAATGGAGGCAGATGAGGAGAGGAGGAGGAGGAGAGGAGGGATGGGAGGAGGAGAGGAGGAGGAGGAGGAGGAGGTAAGAGGAGGTCGGAGGCAGGCCTAGGGGAGCCCCCCCCCCCTCGGGGGGGCGGCGGCCATCCAGACGATCGAGAAGGGCAACCGCTTCGCGTCCAGGCTGGGCTGGATCGACACGGCCTCCGCCGGGGCGCTCTCGTGCACGGTCCTCGCGCGGGGCGGCGCGCGCAGAGAGCGACAATCGCGAGCTCCGGGAGGAGGCCCAGCAGGAGGGACGAGGACGAGGACGAGGACGAGGGGAAGAGGAGGTCCACAACGAGGACGAGGACGAGGACGAGGACGAGGACGAGGGGGAGGAGGTCCACCGGTCCACCTCCCTCTCCTTCGTCCTCGTCCTGCGCCCTCCCCCCCCCCGCGTGCTCCCCCTTCCTCCAACACTCCAGCACTGCGCAGCTCAGGTCGATCAGAGACCGCAGCTGAGCAAGGAAAGACAGTCCCGCCTCAACAATCATCATCTTGTCGGACCTTCCTTGAGGCAAGAAACCCTGTACGACGATGGGACATGGAGAAATGACATGAACGTGCCGCCTCGCACATCATCGGGCCCAAGTGCCTTCCATGAGACACTGAAACAACCTAGACGACGCGGGGGCTGGAAGAGATGGGACTTGGGTCTAGTTGCGGGGCCAAAGGGGTCGAAATCTTCTGCCCCGAGCTCCCAGGCAGCTCCCCCTTCCTCAACCTCTTCAGGTCCTTCAGCGCGGAGGAGGGAGGAGGAGGGAGGAGGGAGGAGGGAGGAGGGAGGAGGGAGGGGCGATGGAGAGGGAGAGGGGGAGGAGGAGGGAGGAGGAGGAGGAGGAGCGGAAGGAGGAGAGGAGGAGGGAGGGAGGAGGAGGAGGAGGAGGAGGAGGAGGAGGAGGAGGAGGAGGAGGAGGAGGAGGAGGAGGAGGAGGAGGAGGAGGGAGGAGGGGCTGGCACGGTTCTCGGAGCTTGCCAGCTCTCGTCGTGCATAGCGCTCCAACTTTCCTTCAGACTATCGCAGGGCCCTCCCACCGTTCGATCGTGGACAGTCAGAGCGAATGAGGATAATATCAGTCCTGTCTGCTAGGCTGCTCGTCGACCAGTTTGGCCAACGCTCGGGCCCGCTGCGGCATGGCTTTCGCACCGGAGAGAAAGCTGGGTGCGGCAGTGTTGGCACCAACATCGTTAGTGTGGACAGCGATTGTCGACATGCCAACGTCCTCTGGAACACCCGCCACTCTCGACTCATGCCATTGGTGCACGGCAGGTAGTGCAGAATGCTTGGCCTCGGACGTGGCTGACCAATCCCCGCAGTGATACCTCTGCCAACAAACATCGAATCTTACCATGCCGTTGAGCATGACCCTTCTGGGCCACTTGTAACCCCAGAGGGTCTTTAATGATACCCCCCCCAAAGCTCTCGGCGGGGACTAGAAACTCGTCCCTCCTCCTCCTCCTTCCCCTCCTTCTCCCCCCTGTGTGGTGGTGTAGTGTGTTTCGTGCGTGCCTCCCTCCCCCTACCCTCTTCCTCGGTCCTCTTCTTCTTCCCCCCAGACAGGACATGAAGGGTTGGTCTGGGCTGGCCAAGCCACCAGGGGTCCTCCTTCTTGTGTGAGCCCGCTCGCCACTTCAGTTTAACCTGGCCGCGGTGATGCACCCCTTGGCAACGGGGTTCGAACTGATCGGCAGCGGCCGTTGTTCGAACCTCCTCGGCTTTAAGGCCGTCAGGGTAGAAACTGAGCTCCCTGTTCGGGGTCACTTGCTCTCGGCCGTTACGAGTTTGGCGAGTACTGAATGGCCGCCAGAGGGTGTTCAACCTGCCCACCGATGGCCCACAAAGCACTGACAACAAATGATATCCTTTGACTAGAGCTCCCCCTCGCGTCAACTTTAGCCAGACTTCATCAAGAGGTCCTCGTCCAGGTGCCATGCTGGATGATGGGTGGTCAAGGATGTCCAATTCTCACACTCTAGCCTCCCATGCCATGAGTTCCCCAGGCAGTCTGATAGTAGCCGTGAAAAATCCCATGGGTCGCCTTCCTTTCGCGCGGTCATCTTCAGAAGGTTGAAATGCTTTGGGTGGAGCCCAGCTGTGGCGATGGCATTCTGCCTGAACTTGGACGACACAGGTCTGAGTCAAGATGCGTCATCTCTGGCCGCCACGTGCGCTGGTGCGCTGGTGCATGCAAGAACGGACTCTGCTTCGCTGTTGACTCCCATGCATTTCCCCACATCCCCTTCTGTCAAGCAAGACTAATGCCCATGGGAGCCGCCTGAGTGGCATCTTCATGCGCGTGCATCTCTTCTCGATGCGCGGGCTTAGGCCTGGTGTAAGAGCGGGCCTTGCCGGCGCCGTCCCTGAAGGCCTCCTCGCACCAGGTTGTCCAATCATTTAGTTAGGTTTTTTGGCTGTTCTAATGCCCTGTCCTTCCACCGCCTTCAACACCTCGATCCAGCCCTGAAGGTCATCATTTATGCACCCATTGCCCCAGGGCCAAATTGGGCCTGTACAGGTAAGTCGCCCTCATGCGCGTCTGAGTCGTCGCCGAGAACGTCGCGCCCCCTGTGGATCCGAAAAGACACGCAGGAGCACCATTCGCAAACGTGGCTTGACTGTTTGCCCTGGTGTCAGGCACGATTCTGGAAAGACTATCACATGCCAAGCTTGTCCAGGTAAGCCAAGATGCTTACGGAGAAGACCCCCTCTGTCTCGCAGACGTTTTGAATCTATTCAGAGACGTCTGTGATGCGAAGACTCCTGTCCTGTCTTAGCCTTCCCGCGGTGGCGTCAAGACTCCCGAGGCTCCTTGCGGGGCGAAGAAAGGGCCGCAGCAGGTAACCTGCGCATGCTCTGTTTGGTGGCAAGGCTCTCACGCAGTGGCTTGCGCACAAACAGGAGCGGCGCTCCAGCAGTTCCCCCCAAGCTTTGCCAACCCACTCCTGGTATATTTAGTCTAGAAGCTGCTATCCCAAGACACGACCGCGACCCGCCAGAGTACAACAGCTGCCCCCATATTCATGATGCCGTTCCAGGATGTCGCCAATACGTTTGCCTAGTCCCAGGTAATCTGGCGGTTCAGGGGCAGGTCCGTTCCAGGCTCGGTCGGTGCAGTCGTGTGCTTACGAATCATGTGTACAAAGGTGTCCTGGGTAGTTCTGGCCAGTTCGAAACACACATGTCTATGCGGCCCAGGGTCCAGCGGGTCGCCAATTTCCATTGTCGTACCTCTGGCCAGGTTATCAAGAGCCCTGCGGAGTACGAAGAAATCCAGAAAGATAGAGTTCTCTCCGCCAACAGAGACACGCGAGGGCACGCCAGGGTCGAATCTGAAGCTGGGTTGCAGGAGGTCCATGTTGAGGCTACTCCTGAGCCCCCCTGGTTCAACATGCCTCCCCCATCAATATAATGGATCCCATGGCCAAGAATGTGGGCCCCTAGTTGTTCAACATTATCGCACCTGACGCCCGTGATTTTCATGTTGTCCTGGGGGTACGAGGAACACAGACTAATGACTCCCACTTCTGAAGGCCTGAAGAAACAGTGCGCCAAACGACGGGCTCGAAGAGACGATCCAACTTCCGGGTCACTCCAAGCGCCCAAATGACGGCGAACATTGTTGCTGCTGCCCCCACATGCATTCCCAATGTCTCTGCTTCCAGCGTCAGACCAGAAGGACCGCCAACCATTCTGAGACATCCACAGCTTTACGCTGTCTCTACGAGTGGCTGTCATCTTGGGCGCTCGCATGAAGACTTCGTCCGTAGAGCAAGTCAACCCATATCCATGCGCCGTGTTCCAACAAGGTCCCCCGTGGGTGACGAGCGACAGAGGCTTGCCCGTCTGCCTGGCTGTCCTCGACTTGCTGTCCCTGTCAAAGGTCAGAGGTGTCCTTCCTCGCCTCCCCCCCCTGCATCGTTCCAGGCAGACGCCCCAGGAGGAGCACCAGGAGGAGCCGGAACCCGAAACGGCTGTGCGATCCGAGAGGGCCAGGAGGTCGTTTTCTTATGCCTCGCTTTGCCGATCGGCGCGGGCCTTCGCGCTCCCCTCCCCCCCCATACCCCCCCCCATAGAGTAGATCTTGGCTGTCTTTGGCGCCTGTTTTGAGCGGGTGGGGTCTCCCCCATAATGGGCGCCCTGTCGCAAACCGTCGCACGAAGCAGAGGGCCGGAGCCAGGACCCCCCCCGCTCCTCAGGCCCCCAGAGACCAGGACACAGATAAACCAGGACACGGAAAACAAAGGAAACGACATCCTTTCCTGCAAAGTCACGTTTTTCAGCACCCGTGCATTTTTTGTTTGCTGCACTGCAGGATTCGGGTGTGTGTCCGGGTTAAGGGGGGTCTTGCAGGCTTTGGGGGCATGTGTCCGGGTTTATTCTGGAAATGCTGCAGTGCAGTATTTTGTTCGTGCCGCCGTTTGGAAAAAATTGTTTCGAGGGATATTGGGTGTCCGGGTCTAGCGTGTCCGGGTCTACGAGGCCCTGAGCTCCCTCTTCCCTTCCGCCCACTGTCGAAACGCCAAATAAGAGCACGTTCACCAGGACGAGGGCCGGCTGGGAGCCTTCTGACACCCACGCATCTGAGAGTGCCCCTCGGGGATCCCTGGCCACTTGCATCTGATCGCTGTAGCACGTGGGTTAGGAGGGCCAGGAGGAGCAGCTGGAGATGGGGCAGCAGCAGGCACAGACGGCTGAACAAAACTGCTGCTGGAGAGTATATTTGGCCAGCCGGTGCGGGATGTTTGGAACGTACCTCTCGAGTGAGTCCACAAGCACACGCGCGGGGTCCGCGAGGGCCTGGGGGATTGCGCCCGCGGTCGCAACCATCCCCGCTGCCTTCTAGTCCTCCACGAGGTCCCCTTCTTCCATGGCCAAATCCTCGTCCAAATCATCCAGCTCATCGTTAAGCGCCTGAGTTTATGTTCCAGGCCGATCTGACGGGTCCGCATGCTCTGAATTTGTCCCTCTCGTTTCTGGATGTCTTGCTCGTGTCGCCGAAGCTGGTTGCCGGCTGGGACGCTCTGCTTTTTGCTTTGATGGTGCTTGCGCCACGCTGCTGTCAGAGAGTCTGCCACTTCTTTACCGAACGGGGGGTTAGTTCCTTGCGACAATTGATGGAGGCTGCAGGGGGGTAAGAGCCAAGGAGGGGGGGAGAAGCCAAGGAACAGGAGGGAGCCAAAGTGGAGGACGGGGGGGAGGAGCCAAAGTGGAGGGAAACGGAAAAGGAGGAGCCAAACGTGGAGGAGCCAAAGTGGAGGAGCCAAAGTGGAGGAGCCAAGGAAGGGGGGGGAGCCAAAGTGGACGACGGGGGGGGAGGAGCCAAGGAAAAGGAGAGCTCATCATGCGGCTGACGGGGGCGTCCTCATCCATCCTCCTTGTCACGAGCCTCACGCACACGGCCTTGTTCCTCCTCCGTCACCTTTTCCCCGCTCTTTCCACTTTTTCCGCCTCTGCCACCCTTGTCTCATGATGTTCCAACCCACTTTAGTTTTGATCGCCAGAAAGAATCTCGAGCACCAGAAAAAAACAGGTACCGAAACTCGAGGGTTTCAACGTGTCTGGCCCTGGGAGACACTCGTCCGACACCGTTTCGACACTCCACACTTTTCGGGATTCTCGAAATTATTTCTGGGATGTGGTCGTGAAGTACGATGGGAGCAACATAACTCTTGTCGCCTCCTCGCTCACCTCCTCCACTTGCCCCGTCACGACGAAGCCACGGTTCACGGGACCGCACACCACGTGGCGGAGTACAGTGGATACCCCTGCCAAGAAGCACCTTGCTTGCCTCCAGGGCGCCCTCGGTTTCTTGGGCTTCGATGCTTTGCTTTGGAAAGCTCGACGCTCCCACACCAAAACTCAACGGACGTCCTGGGGTCTCAGGCTTGGGCTTCCTGTGGAAGGTCTCTTTGTGGTCAGGCCCCTACTGTATCACCGCCTTGCTGAGGAAATTTCGCGAGTTTGGGACCACCGTGGCAATAACCAGCGGTAAATTGGCAGGTTCTCCTCACAGCCACGAGCACCGCAAGCAGGCCCACAGGGGACTTGGCTTCCGCGCGTGGCGCACCAGGTGTCCGAGAGAGACGCCGCGGGGAGCGGGCGCTCTCGTGCGCCGGTCGTGCCGTGCTCGAGCGAGGCCGGGAAGTTCAGGAGCGGGGGGCCCTCGAGCCGAAGTGGCTGCGGGCTCCCCCTTCCTCCCGTGTCTCCCGTGTCTTCCCCCTCTTCTCGTGCCCTCCTCGTCCTCGTCCTGCGTTCTCCCCCGCCTCCCTGCCCTCCCTCCTCCCCCTCCTCCCTCCCCAGAGGGGTGGTGCTCCTGCTGTGTCCTCCCCCTCCCCCCCCCCTCCTCCTCGAGGAGGGAGAGGAGGTGGAGGACGCAAGCCGAGGACGTGGGCACGAAGGCAAGGACGAGGTCCAAGAGGGAGGTTGCGGGGAGGAGAGGTCGGCGCACGAGCTGCCCGTATGTCTATGTCGAGGCCCTGATCGGGGGGCGACCGCGGCAAGCTCTGGAGATCATCGAGCCTTGAACTGGTGTTCATCCTCAGTCGTGGTTTGGCAGCACCAGGGCCTGGTTTTTGAATTCAAGGACCAGTGCTTGAATTCAAAAACCAGCAGTTTTTGAGTTCAAAAACCATTTTTGAATTCAAACACTGTTTTTTTTTAATTCAAAAACCAGTTTTCGAATTCAAAAACCACTTGTTGATTTCAAAAACCAGCTTTTAATTCCAAAAGCCCGTTTTTTTAAATCCAGCACCAGGATGCTTAATTCCAGAACCAGCGGTTTTCAATGCTAGAACCAATCTTGTTTAAATCAGCAGCCAGTTCTTTGAATTCAAGAAGCAGCCCCCGGACGCCGACGTTCCCGAGCACTCCCCGTGGAGCCGCCCCGCCGGAGCTGGGCTCCTCCGCTCCTCGCTGTTCTCGCAGGCGGCTCCCCGCTGCCAAAAGCCACAGCCCCAGAGAGCTGCTCCAAGAAAACAGCTGGCCGTTTAGAAAGGAGCCCGGCTTGGCCCCAACTCCTCCTCTTCCTCCTCCTCCTCCTCCTCCTCCTCCTCCTCCTCCTCCTCCTCCTCCTCCTCCCTCTCCCTTCTTCCTCCTCCTCCTCCTCCTCCTCCTCCTCCTCCTCCTCCTCCTCCTTCTCCCCCCTCCCCCTTCCCCTCCTCCTTCTCCTCCTCCCGGCTTGGCCCCAAATACCGGGAAAGCGTCCATTGGCTTGGGCATTTGGCATTGCATCGCTCGGCACATTGCTTGGCGTACTGCTTTGCTGTACGCGTGGCACTGGTTTGTTGTGTTCTGCAGTGCCCGACACTGCGCTGCTCTGCTTGGCTTGGCATGGCTTCGTATTGCACTGCACTGCTTGGCATTGCTCTGAATTGTCGGGGATTACTTGTCATTGCCATGCTTGGCGTTGCTTGACATTGCTTTGCATTGCTATGCGTTGCTTGGCATTGCTTTGCATTGCTTTGTAGTGCGTGGCACTCCTTGGCATTCCTTGGCTTCGCTTTGCTCTGGCTGGCATTGTTTTGCGTTGCTTGGCACTCCTTGGCACTGCGCTGCAACCCATGAAACTCCGTTTCAAAACAGCAAGGACACAAGGCCAACGAGCCCAGAGAGCCCGAGGAACTTGGGAAAGGATGGTCGTCCAAAGCAGGAAGGGAGCGAGACTATAAGCAGCCCAGGGAGCCAGAGCAGGCCGGGCCGGCGCGCAGGGCGGGCACCTTTCAGAACCCCACGATTGGGCAGAGAAGGGTACTTCGGCAATGCTTCCTAATGTGGGCTCTTCGGACGCACCCCTGTCGAGGATGTTCTGTACGCTCCCCGCCGCCGTGCAGCCCTGGGTCGGGCTCGGTTGGCGCCTAGCCGCTCGACGGTGCCAGCACGACGGGGTGGGGGCCGTCCCGGCTCTCGCCCTCCTCAGCGCCTTGACTCCGCCTTTCTCTTCCCCACCGTGGCGTGGACTTTGCCCCCGGGACCAGCTCCTCATCCCGAGCCGTTTCTCGAGGGTCCCGGGGCCCCCAGGGGCGGCCTCGCAAGAGGCCGCAGGCTGCCAGGAGCCCCCGCCGTGTTTTGTTTGATGGGCTTGTTTTCCACCACCACCACCACCATGAGTCAGGGGGGGAGGAGGAGGAGGACTCGAGGACTCGAGAGCAGAGGGCACCGCAGTCGACTCGGCCGCCGCGGCCCCTGTGCCCGCGCACTCTGCGCGGGCTCCCGCCCGTCACCTGCGGGCCTTCTTGTTGGACTCCAGCATCATGCCGTAGGGGAGGCAGTGGCTCTGGTTAAGGTTGCCCGTCCACCCACAACGCCCGAATAATGCAAGCTGCGGAGACGCCCGAAATCGGTTAACGTTCAATGTGAAACTTACCCTGTTGGCGCCCGTGTGTCTGTTTGTTCACCCACACAGTTAACAACCTCTGAACGAAACTTCCAATCCGCAAGCATACACACAACGAGGATACTGAAATACCACCAAGGCACGTGCTCTTGACGTGTGAATTCAGACAATGGGTACATATTGATAGCAGAAAAGCTGCCAACGAAGCAGAGTGGGGCCACCGAGACAACGCCAGCAAAATGCAAACCACTAAATGCGTACCACCGCCGTCTGCCTTTCTTGCCACATGGGCCTGGGCCAGGCTCAGCCATGTAAAATAATATACCATTGCGCAAAAGCCAAATGTCCCACATGATTGAGGTACACAGGGCCAGATGGTTGAACAAATGCTGAAGTACAGAGTGATGCCACTGAGACAACGAACAAATGCCAACCACCAAAGCTGCACAGACGTCTGCCTTACTTGCCGCTCGGGCCTGGGCCAGGCTCTGCCCCCAGCGATGCCGTGCATGATGTGCAGGACCGCAAAAGGAAATATGACTGCCGAAGTGTGCACAACTATGAGAAAGCCCCGCTCCGCCAGGTGCACCACCACCGCAGCCCCCGTTTGAACCATATGCCGAAACTCACACAAGTTTAAACGGGTAGAAGCCTGTGCTCTTGTGCTGCAGCAGGAACTTTTGCCAAAGCCCCTCAAGTCGCGGGCCGGGATGCTCCAGAAGACTCCTTCATGACTGCTCCCGACGGTACGCGCCCTGCTGCCTCCCGGTTTGAACCAGCAAAACAAATGCCAGCTTGGGCCGAGACACGACTTGAGGAGGGGGGAGGAGGAGGAGGAGGAGGAGGAGGAGGAGGAGGAGGAGGAGGAGGAGGAGGACGGGGACGAGGACGAGTAGGGAGGAGGAGGAGTGAGGAGGGAGGAGGAGAAGGGGGAGGAGGAGGAGGAGGAGGAGGGAGGGAGGGACCCCTTTTATTTGCTTTCTTTATTTTTTTTTTTTTTTCCATTCCTCTCCAACTGATGGTGGTGGTGGAAGACAGGCCCATCATTGTTGCTTCCAAGACGCGAGGGGGTGGGCCTCGTCGCCTCCCGACCGCGCTCGGCTGGAGCGCGGCGGCCGTCGGCGCAGGGCGCACCCGCCGCCGCCCCGCGCGCGCCTTCGCCCCGCCCCGCCCAGGTCGGCCAGGCCGTGAGGGTGCGGGGCCTCACGAGGCCCTGCGCCGCCGCCGCGCAGCCGGGGAGCGAGTGAGCCGGTGGCCCGTGAGCGTGTGCGTGGTCCCCCTTTGGGGGGGCCCTCCTTCGACCTGCTCCCGCTCGGGCCCATGCCTCGTCCTCCCTCTGTGCTCCCTCCTCGCCCTCCTCGGCCCGCTCCTTCCTGGGCCCACTCCTCGTCCTGCCTGCTCCCTCCTCGCCCTCCCCGCCCGTCTCGGCCTTGAGCTGCTTGGCCCCTTCCTCGTCCTCCCTCCTGGCCCCCTCCTCCGAACGAGAGAGGGGGCAGCGAGGCACCGACTCTGTTTTGCAACTGCATCGGAGAGTTGCTCTTCTGCCTGCTGCTGGTCGGGGGTTGTGCGGTTGTGGGCGGTTGTGCGCCCTCACGCCCAGCAAGCCATCTTCTGGGCCAAAACGGCCCACGCGCCCCAAGCGCGTCGTGAAAGAGCCACGACGGGCGAGTGATTTGCACATTGTCGGCCTCTGGGGGCTCTCATCGGGCTCCCGGACCGCAAGTAACAAAAACTACTCGGGACGAACATTTTGTCTCAGACGCGAGGACCTCCAGGGGGGGGCCCGAGGAGACCAGGGGGAGGAGGAGAGGGAGGAGGGGGAGGAGGAGGAGGAGGGGGAGGAGGAGGAGGAGGAGGAGGAGGAGGAGGAGGAGGAGGAGGAGGCGAAGGAGGAGGAATACAGTCAGGTCGTGCCCAGGTGGGGCCGGCAGGCCCCGGGCCCAGAGGAGCGTGACGAGCGGGAGCAGATCGAGCGGGCTAAGCTCGACATTGATCCCGATAATGCCAGCGGTCGGCGGGTGTACGCGCACGCCGCCATTGTGGGAGCTTGCACGCCGGACGGGGCACGCGCAGCTGCAGCAGAGGAACGCAAGCGCGGGCGCTTTCCCGGGTCTGGCCTGACGCCTCCTGCGATCGAGTGTCTCGCCCGCTTCGCTGATTGCGCCGACGCGTTTCTATGTGCTCTCTGGTTCCGCCGAGCCCCGCGGAAGGCTCGCAGGCTTTAGGAGCCGCTCGGTGGGGCCTCTCGATGGTCACCGCTGAACACGTGCGTTCGGTCGGCGGATGTCTCCCTGCTGTGGCGCATCTGGAGGAGGAGGAGGAGGAGGAGGAGGAGGAGGAGAGGAGGAGGAGGAGTGGGGGGGGAGAAGGAGGAGGAGGAGAAGGAGGAGGAGAAGGAGGAGGAGGAGGAGCTGGAGGGGGGGGAGGAGGGAGAGGGAGGGGGAGGGAGAGGGGGACATTGTAGGGAGGAGGAGGAGGAAGGCAAAGGAGGAGGAGAGGAGGAGGAGGGAGGAGGAGGAGGAAGGAAGCATGAGGACGGAGGTAGGAGGAGAGGAGGAGGAGGAGGAGGAGGGGAGGGGAGTTGAGGATGGATGGGCCCGAGCAGGAGGCGGGATGGAGGCGGAGAGGGAGGAGGAGCAGGAGGCATGGAGGAGGTGGGAGGAGGAGCGAGGAGGGCCGGAGCGAGAGAGGAGGAGGAGGAGGAGGGCGAGGAGGAGGAGGAGGAGGAGGACGAAGGGAGGGGGAGGGGGAGGACGGAGGCGGAGGAGGAGGAGGTAGGAGGAGGAGGAGGAGGAGGAGAGGAGGAGGAGGAGGAGGAAGGAGGAGGAGGCAAAGAGGAGGAGGGGAGGAGGAGGGAGGAGGAGGAGAGGGAGGGCCGAGGAGAGGAGGAGGAGGAGGTGGAGCGTAGGAGCAGGAGGACGGAGGAGGAGGAGGAGGCGGAGGACGGAGGAAGAGGAGGAGGAGGAGGAGGAGGGGAGGAGGAGGAGGAGGAGAGGGAGGGGGAGGAGAGGAGGAGGAGGAGGAGGCGGAGGAGGAGGAGGAGGAGGAGGAGGAGGAGGAGGAGGAGGTGGAGAGAGGAGTGAGGGAGGAGGAGGAGGAGGATGAGGAGGAGGCGAGGGAGGGCGAGGAGGGGGGGAGGAGGAGAGGTGGAGTGAGAAGGAGAGGAGAAGGAGGAGGAGAGGAGGAGGAAGAGGGAGGGGGAGAGGGAGGAGGAGGAGGAGGTAGGAGGAGCGAGGAGGAGGAGGAGGAGGAGCAGGAGGAGGTGGAGCAGGAGCAGGAGGAGGAGGCTCCAGTGCAGCGTGGCCCGCGGGCTCCCGGCAGCCCCGCGCTGCAGAAGCCGGCCGCGGCCAAGGCCGTGCGCACCGCGAGGAGGCGCAGCCGAGGGAGGCTGGCGAGCAGCGACGGGCTCCGCCCGCCGCTCGCTCGTTTGTTTTTTGTTGGGTGGGTGGATCTCTCAAGCTCTCCGCCGCCTCTGGCGGTGTGCGTTGCGAGCAGGAACGCAGCAGAGCCACAGGAGAGCGCGGCATTGACAGTGTAGCTCCGCACACGTAACACATGTTAACTAGCAGGAACACAGCAAAGCCCCAGGAGAGCGAGGCATTGACAGTGTAGCTCAACATTGACACGGTGGTGGCCAGGGAGCCCCCGCGAGCAGCGACGGGCTCCGCCCGCCACTCGCCCGCGCGCGGGCGGCGCTCGCGCGTGGGACGGGGGCAGTGTTCGGGCGAAGAGGACCACAGTCAACCCGCATAGTGGGGATTCGGCGGCGAGCGAGGGGGGGAAGCGAAAGGGAGAAGGCCTTCTCAGGAGGGTGCGGGACTTCTCAGAAGCCCTCGCACCTTCCGAGGGGTGTTTGTTTTGGTGTTTTCGGGGAAGGCTTCGACAACTTTTCAGCAGAAGGCCGAGAAACTTCCGAGCCTTCTGAGAAGGCCCGCCCCTTCTCACTTCCCCCCTGGGCGCGCCGCCTAAGGATGGGGACCCTTCCCGAGGGTACCCTTGCATCCGTGCCTCCTCGGCCCATCCTTGGCCACTTTCATTGGCCGCGCCCCGCTCGGAAAGCTTCGACATGGGCGTCCAAGGCCCTTGCATCCTTCTCGCGAATCCTTATGATACGGGCCGACTGTACGGCAGGTTCGCGTCGTGTCGACTGTCGGCGATCCCGCCGCCGGCGTTCAACGCTGAATGCCGGCGGCGGCGGCCCAGAATCGGTAGATATTCCAAGATGCGGCGTTTGGGAAGCGGCCGGTCGTTCAAGGTTGAACGTCGGAAACTGGAGCATGTACATGATCAGTGGCGGGCTGTTTTTCCTGTGCGAGCTTCGGTGCGGGGCCGGAAAAAAGCCTCGATGTATACGTAGAGCTCGGCTCTTTCGAACGATCCCCGCTTTCAAGAACCAGCGCCGAAGCCGGCACGACACGGACCTGCCGTATGCCCAAACATTTGTCCTCAAAGGAGAAAGAACAGCATATTGTAGACATACACTTTCGGCGGTCCACGCAGATTTCTTGGATCTGCGTTTGACTTCAGTCGAGCATGTCTCTCTACAGGAGGAATACTCAAGCATGATCAAATTTTTCGTGCTCTCTCTCTCTCTCTTGACTACATGAGTATGTTTCAATTGCTTTTTTATTTTTCTGCCGAAATCCGCCTGTAGGAGGACGTTCCAGACCTAAGGCTTGAACCCCCTGGCGGTGTCTCCAGCGCCGCCCCTGGCGCGCTCCGCGCGCCAAGTAGGGGGCCCTGCGCCGACCCAACAAATCCACGCGGACCTCCAGAAAAGTGTATGTTCATGCTGATTGCTGTTTTCAGGAAGGGAAAAAACACACAGACACAGCTAATCGTCGATTCCCAGGAAAATAAAGGAAAATACGGGAAGTGGGGGGGAAGACGAAAACCCAGAAAATATTGGAAACCACAGGGAATCCTGTTATTGGTGTCTATTTATTTGTGTGTCCCTGGGCTCCTTCATGTTTGCTCTTCCTCCTAGATCTTGGCCAGGCCCCTTCGGGGGCCCAGGATCGGTCCATGTAGCCACGGCAGGAAGGCGTGCGCACCGATCCTGGGCTCAGGACGGGCCTGGTCAGAGTCAGTGTATGCTTATGTCGGGCTTGTCCTTCTACAGGAGAAAGATTCAAAAATAGCCAGAAGATAGTACGGGGACGATTTTTTTGGTGTGTGTGTGTGTGTGTTTGTATTTTGAATATTGTAGGGTTAATTTTATTTTCCGCCCAAAATCCGCCTGTAGGGGGACATGCCCGACCTAAGTGTATGTGCAACAATAGCTTTCCTCTTCAAGCCCGAAATCCCCCCTCAAGGCGCCTTCGAGATCTTGGAGCTGGTGCTGGCAGGACGAGATCGTGGGGGAGGGGGGGGGCCCAGCGGGTGACGGAGGAGACCCTTGCGCGCCGGGTCCCTCGAGCACGGGCGAGGGCATTCTCAGCAAGGTGCGGGTGGCGTTGTCTGCTGACGCCTCCCGCGATTCGGAGGAGGACAACTGTGCAGCTACACCTCGTTCCCTCTCTCTCCCCCGTCCCAGGAGACGGGGAACCAGTCAGAGGAAGTTGACCCGTATAGTCGTTCGGCTCCCAGTGTACGCAGGCCGTGGGGGCGGGCCCGCAGAGTTGGACCTGCACCTCGCGGGGGCCCCTCCAGCGCGGCGCCGCGCGGCTTCTGGCGAAGCTCGGGGGGGGGAGAAGTGTATTTGCTTGCGAACATCTCCCTCTCCAGTCCATCCCATCTTGCTCCTCCTGCTGCGCAAGGCCAGGCTCGACCACCCCACTCCGAGTCCGCCCGCGCCGCGAGCGACGCGCAGGCCAGAGGCCCCCGCACCCTCGGGCGCCGCCGAGGATGGTTGCCAGGGGGGGGAGGCGGAGAGGGACACTATAGACTATCTCCTCCTCCTCCTCCTCCTCCTCCTCCTCCTCCTCCTCCTCCTCCCCCCTCCCTCCCCCATCCCCTATCTCCCTCCTCCTCCCCCTCCTCCGCATTGTTCCTCTCCTGCCTGTTCATCTCTCCTCTCTCCTTCCTCCTCCTATCCCAGTTTTCCCCCCCTACCCCTTCTCATCCTACCCCCACCTCCTCTCCTCCTCCTCCTCCTCCTCCTCCTTCTCCTTCTCCTCCTCCTCCTCCTACTCCTACTCCTACTCCTACTCCTACTCCTCCTCCTCCTCTGCGCGCAGCCCGAAGCCTTACCAGCCCGCTTCTTTTCTCGGGGCGAGCGCGCGCCCCGTGCGCACACCGCGCGCGCCGCGGCCCCCCGGGGGGCGGGGTTCGCGCCGCAGGCGGGCCGAGCTGAACGGCCTGGAGGGCCACGTCACTGACGACGAGCGGGACGCGCAGGGGCGCGTCCGCGTGCGTCTGGACCTCGCGGGCGGCGGTGCCAAG